CGGGGCTGCCTGCGGGCTCGGGGCGCGGCGGGGCGGGGCGGAGGTGGGACCGGGCCGCGGCCCCCTGGCGCACCTGCTGCGGGCCCGGGGCGGGGGTCCCGGCCTCTGCGGCCCGGCCCTCCATTGTTGCGGCTGCTGGAGAAGGGGGGCGGGGAGGCCCCGGCGGCGTCTCTCCTCGCTTTCCCCGAGCAGGGGCTCAGAGAGGCCTGAACCCCCCAAGCGGAGAGGCCTGCAAGCCCCCGAGCCGGGGTCGCCCGGGGTGGGGGGAGGGCCGGCCGAGATGCCCCCGAGGGGCGGGGACGCGTGGTGAGGGGCACAGGGACCTCGGCCCGCTGACACCTGACCGCCCGGAGGCCCGGGGACGGGGCGGGGGCGAGCTTTGTTCTTGGGGAGGCCGAGCGCGTGGGGAGCTCGCACACGCGGGGCCGGTGGAGGCTCCGTCCCGGCGGGCGCCCGGGCCAAGTTCACGGGCGCGCGGGCCTGCGCGGGGCCTGCGGAAACCGATCCCCGCGGGGGCCCTGCTCCGGTCTGGCCGCGGCCACCTCCTCGTGCTCCCCGCCACCGGTCTGTCATTACCGGAGGTGGCTGCAGGGCATTTACCGGGGCCAAGGTTTACTAATGGGAACTCGCTCTCCACAACTGGCCCTAAAAAAGGAAAAATGGCCCCGAATCCCACTGCTGGGGAGTCCTTTTAAAGCGACAGGGACCCTTTCACAGGGAACTAACTGCCCTAGAAGGCACGCTGGGGGTGGAGGAAGGGAGATCATCTCTCATGGACTGATGGGAGCTGTGAGGTACCCCGCACTCCCCACTGCTCTTCAGCCCTCCATCTCCTTCCCCACCGATGCCCCACTGCCCTGGACAGCTCATAGATGCACTTACAGGACCACAGTTACATTCCCAAATCGCTGATGAAGAATCCCAAATTCACACACTGCACACGGACATACAGCATCCTCAGTACTCAAATCAGCCGCAGGAACGCTGATAAGCACATGCACATGCACATCACCCACAATAACACTGCCACCTGGGCGCACACGTCACCCACAGTGATGGGGACGCCCTGTGAAAACACTGACGGTGGCCATGGCACAGACACGGCCTTGCACGGAACATACAGTTCTCTACCACACACACAGACACATGGATGGACACCCACCACTGTCACCAGGACACACAGACACACAGCATCAACCACAGGTATGTTAAACACCCTGACAAAAGTACAGGTAGACACATAGACATGGACATGCATGTGCCTGCCCGAGCAAGCACACACCCACAGCCACCCCGTCATCCAGGCAACCTCACACACACACACACACACACACACACACACACGGCACCAGGCTTGTACAGATGCTGATATCAGGTTATATTAATCCAGACAGACACACGTATAGCACAGCCACACATGCTGACACATGGCTGTGCATGGTAAAACGATCCTCCTAGACACCCATGATGACACTGCCACCCACAAACAGATATGGACCTTCCAATAATACCTACACCCCTACACTGGATTATACACCTGGACACCTGCAATAATACACACAGAGGAAATAACATAATGACACACAGAGCCACTGGGACAATGACAGGGACACTCAGAAACACAGTCCCCTGGATGGCCGTACACCCAATGCTTGTTTATTGAGCATCTGTTACGTACCAGGCAGCCTTTTAGTGCTGGGCATAGGAGAGATAAAAACCCCTGCCTCTTTAAAAAAAAAAATGTATTTTATTGGTTTTTTACAGAGAGGAAGGGAGAGGGATAGAGAGCTAGAAACATCGATGAGAGAGAAACATTGACCAGCTGTCTCCTGCACACCCCCCACTGGGGATGTGCCCGCATCCAAGGTACATGCCCTGACCAGAATCGAACCTGGGACCCCTCAGTCCGCAGACTGACGCTCTATCCACTGAGCCAAATTGGTTTTGGCCAAAATCCCTGCTGACATTTTAGTAAGGGAGGTAGGGACCCAACAATTGGATGACACCCAAACTACAGTCACCCTCAGTGACTCTGGCATATGCCAGACACCCCACACACTGGCTCACCTATCTACCTGCAATCACCCACAACTAGCCTGACATGCACTCCCAGTTACACTGACACCCCCTCACACACAAGCCCACAGCAGCACCAACACACACACTGATGTGCACATCACTGGCACAAGAGACGGCTGCTCATTATCATGCACACCTACCTGGATTTACAGACACCCATAGCTGCCCAGAACTGCCCCCCTGAATAGTGAGGACCCCAAAAGCAGGGCAGCTCCCCGGTAACAGGCCCCCAGGCAGCTGCTGCCTGTGTTTTCCGGTGGAACTCGCCTGACCTAAGACACAGGGCTGCCCTGCAGCCTGAGTCACGGGAGCACCAAATGTCCCATCCACTGGCCCCAGGCCCCAACCCTGGAGAAGACGCTTCTTGCCTACCCCAGCCCTGGTGGGCTTGGGAAGAAGGCTGGGCTCCTGGCCCTCTGCCCACCCCTAGGCCTGGGCAAGACAGATGAGCCCTTTGTCCGAGGGCCCCGCATGGAAAGGCCTGAGCAGCCAGAGGAAGCCAGGGGCTGGCTTGGCGATGGCAGAGGGGGAACCCGAGAGACCATGCAGCTAGGAAGGAAAAGAGGAGCCCCCTGCACCGTCTAGTCAGTCTGGGTCATCAGCCGGAACCCACTTGGGAACCCCCATGTGTGCTGTCACCGTACCCTCAGGAGGGGCTCTTTGTCTGCCAGGCCCTGACTACCTCCTCCCCCATGCTCCCCACAGGTCCGTGCACACACACAAGGACATACACACACCGGGACACGCGTGCAGGAACACACACACACACAGACACTCCTTCTTCTTCAGCTTGACGGCAGAGCTGCCTCCATCCATCACCCTCACTCAGACCATGACCCCCAGACCTGCACCAGCTGCCCTGCCTGCCTGGAGCTCAGAGTGGGGGTGGGGGCGGGCCTTGGGCCCAGTGTGGCTTCTGCAAGGCTCCCCTCACCCACTCATTCCCAACCCCCCTCCAGGTGTGGCAGGGCTGGGGTCCCAGGAGGAAGAGGGTGATGGTCCAAAGGGCCGGGAAGGGCACCCCTGCCTGGCACCAGGGCCTATGGTGGGGAGCGGGAGGAGACAGTCCCCTCCACCCTGCTGGGCTTCACAGATGGAAGCGCAGTGGGCCCTCCAGGTCTCAGGGCACTTGGCAGAGGAACAGTCGCCCCCCATTCCCCCAAGGTCCAAGTCCAGACAGTGAGACGCTGAAGTTGGGGGGGGGGGGGAGCAGGCCTACACACAGATCAAGTGTAAAGGGCCAGACAGACACAGGCGGACCCAGACAGCCAGGAATAGGAGCACCAGTCAAACAGAGCGGGAGACCCAGTCAAACACAGGCCGCCAGGGGCGCAGGCAGACCCAGACGGGCCGACCCAGACAAGCACGGAGGGCGAGGGCGGGAAGCTCCGCCGACCACCGCAGACAAAGGGAGACCGGCCCGGGAAGGCCCCAGCTGACTCCTCCCCACAGGACGGGGCGCGGCCGAGCTCCTCAGCCCCGCCCCTCGGCCCGGAGCCACGCCCACCGATCCAGCCCCGCCTTCCGGACTGCCGGGACCGGCCCATCCTGGCCGATTAGGGGGAAACCCCGTGCGGGGACCTCCTTTGTAGGTCAAGGTCAGTGCCCTTAGAGCGTCCTTCTGATAAGCCAAGGTCGTGGGTTCCATCCCCCACCAGGGCACACACCAGAAGCAACCAGTGAATGCATAAGTGGAACAATAAATGGATGTTTCTCTTGCTCTCAAATCAATTAAAAATCCAACAATTTTACTTAAAAAATAAAGGACCAGTGCCCTCAGGGAAGCTAGGGGAGAGAAGGCACAGGGTGTCTGTCTCAGGGGGACCCTCAGTGTGGTCAGAGTGCCTCCAGTCTGTTGACCTCGCCTTCTAGCTTTATGGTCGCCAAGGAACCTCAAAAGTTGTTACCAAACTCTCAGAGAATCCATCACCGTCTTCATCGATAAAATGAGTATCCTAATAATAGGGTGATGTATGTAAAGATTTATTATTATTATTATTATTATTATATCTCTGCATTTCCAACAAATCCTCCAGTCCCCCTCCACCCCCCATCCCCGGGTTCTAGGCATTCTGTGGTTAGGACCACCACCCCCAAGGCAGGAGAAAAGGGGAGGAGTCCGGGCCGCGGCCCACCCACCCCTGAATGGGGCCCTGATGGCTGGGCGGATGGGCCACTGGGCGCTCCCCACAGGGGTGCGAACTAGACTGGACCCCGGCCTGGGACGAGACGCCCGGCTTAGGGAAAAGTTGGGGAAATTTCCTGGGCGAATTTTGCGGGGGGTCGGGCTCTGAGGGGCTCCAGTTTGGGGGCAGGTCCTGTCAGGGCGGAACTTAAGGGGTTGGGCTCCAAGGGAGCGGCCTTGGGGATTCCTAGGGTCACGGTCCAGGAGTGTCTAGAGGAGGGTCCTATGGGGGGCGGGCCTCTGTGACCTTGGCCCCTCCTGGGGCTGACAAAAATGTGGGGTGCCACAGGGTTAGGCTCAGAGGCCAGGCCTGGGAGGAGTCTAGGGGAGCTGGACTCTTTCTGAGGACCTGCTTAGGGGCAGGCTTTACGGGTTGAGTTTGTTGGGGGGCTCCATGGGAATGGATATGGGCGGGCTTAGAAGGAGGGGCCTAGGGACTGGCAGTGTGTGTGGCTGTAAGGAGGCGGGTCTTGCGGAGGGGCCAGGGCTGGTGGCTTTAGAGGGGCGGGTTTCCTGGGGATGGATCTGGGTGGGGCCTCCAGAGAGGGGTTTGAGGGGCTGTGCTGGCTCAGGTCAACTACTTCAGGGACATTTTAGGGTTTATTCAAACTCAGCACACTCGGGGTCCCTGATCCTCCTGAGGGTCGTGCCAAAGGCTTCCTTTGGGGCTCCACATTCCCCTGAGTGAAACCGGAGGGGGCTGGCCGCCACCTGGGGCCAGCTCCCTAGAGACTGTGTGCATCCTCCCTTTTCGCCCAGGGGATGGGCACCCAACTGTGCGAGGCCCCTGGAGGGAAGGACTGGAAGCCCTTTTACCGGGAGGAAATGAGGAGGGGGCAGCATCTTGCTGCAGTTGGAGTCCAAGTAGCTGTTTGCCCACAGTGTCCTTTGAGGTTGGAGGGCGAGCGACCTTGCACGATTACATCACGAGGGGCCTGAGTTCAGATGCCTGGAGACCCTGCAGAAGGGCACCAGGCATCCCCGACATCCTCTGGCTTCTCCCCCGTCCAGTGGACAAGTGGACCTGGCAGCCACCCCACTGTGGGCCCTGCATTTGCAAAGGGAAGGCTGAGGGCCCCCAGGGGTTGTTGTGATTCCTAAACAATTGTGCCCAGAAGCACAGTGAGGCTGGAGGAAGGTATACATTGTATTAAAATGACTTGTTTATCTCTCTGTTGAATGATGCTCCTCCTTCGCTCCCCACCCCCCCATGCAAGGCAGCCAGACACACCTTGGGGCCACGAGGAGTAGTGCCCTCGGCCTCAGTCTTCCCCACTGACAAATGGGCCACATCTGCACCTTCCCAGGGCCCTTTTGAGGATGATTTGAGTACATGCATGAAGCAGGGAGCCCAGCACCCAGTATTGCTACATCCATGTAGCAAAACTACATAAACACCTACTGTTACAACTAGCTATATTGATGTCATGCTTTTCCAGGTCATGGGACTGTTTGCTTACTTAGTGAGTCAATAGGTCCATCCCTCTGCCACCTCTCTGGTTCCTTGCACCTCACCCTCTTACTCTGGACACACCACCACCACCACCACCACCACCAAGAAGTTGCCAAGGGCTTGGGGGAACATTCAACCTGTCGGTGAGTTTGGGCAGCTCAGGCAAACCATCGACCGTTGAGTGGACCCCGAGGCCTGGAAGTGCCATCCAGCCATCGTGACCCCCACCTTCCAGATCTGGGGGGCGGGTCCTGCCTGGCCACGTCCCCTCCTTTAGGCCACGGAGAAAGTCACAATCAACATTCATTGTTGTCGGTGGGTTGTGAGGACGGAGGCCAGACCCACCGAGGGATGAATGTCACTGTGGCTGGGCCACACGCAGCCTGAGGGGAAGTGGGCTGGGGGGGACAAGACCCACCATGGGTTCCCCCAAATGGCTCAGCCTGTACCTTGCCCTGACCCCACAGCCTCTCACCACTTGGGAGGGCTGGTGTCTGGGGTCCTAATGGACACAAGCTGGATTTGGGGGAGAAATCCTGGAGGGCTGGAGAGCTAAAAACCCTTCTGGAAGGGGATGGCGAGCTTAAGAGAATAAGTGAATGGGGCCCTCTTCTCTGAGTCCAGGTCCTGGGCTCAGTTCTCTCACCCTCCTTGCCCACACCCTCCATCGCCCACCTAGCACTTGGTGCTGGCTGATCCCTCCCACTGCATGTCTGTGCTCCTGGGCACACTCCCTCCTCCTGAGGCTGGCTGAGGTCTCATGTGAGGGAGGGAAGATCAAAACTCCGTGAGTGCCGGGGGTCCTCCCATTAGCCCACCTTGGCCTCTGCTCTTCCCAACCTCCCCACTTCACCCCCTCACCACCCCAGGGACAGAACAGGCTGCCTGGCCAGCACCTAGCCTTGAGGGCCCCAATAAGTAGAAGGGGAAAGGCAGAATTTGTGTTAGTCTTTGTGAATAGCCCTAGGGGCAGGTGGCTTCATACCTCAGCTTGCTCATCCATTAAGTGGGGGACAATAGGTGTGGAAACACCCTAAGGCAGACCAGAGCTGGGGCCCAGAACCTGATACCATCCCCCTTCCAGGGGCATTTGGAGAATCTTCAGGTGTCCCCCTATTCCCACTCCTTCCCCAAAGGCCCAAGGGCACCTGGCCCTTCCCCGAAACCAGGGGAAGGAAGAAAGCAATTACTAAGTTACAGGTTACATCAATGCTTATCTTGAGGCAGGGCTTCCAACACTATCCACCCTCCCACCCCAAATCCTGTGGGGCAGGGTGGTGGGCCTCCTCAAAGGAGGGGTTGGGGGTAGCCCTCCAAACAGCCTCTGGGTGGGGTATATGGCTCTAAATTGCAGACTGTGTCCTGTATCCTGCCCCTCCCGCCCCCCCAGAGAACGCACACCTCCTTGGCAGGTGCATTTACTGGGAGCTAGCCCCCCTGTGACAATAGGAAGTCTCCCACAGGCTGTTCCTCCCCCTTCACAACCCCTTGGAGGTATAAGGAGAGAACTGACAGCCCAGACTCCTAGGCTCCAGAGAGGGGAAGGGAGGGGCAGGGAGGAAGCAGAGAAGGACGAGCTTGGGGCAGGCAGGGTTTCTCCTCTTTCTGCCCCAAACGCCTGGCACATACTGCCCAGCCATGGGGACCTTCGACCTGTGGACAGATTACCTGGGTTTGGCACGTCTGGTGGGGGCTCTGCGTGGGGAGGAAGAGCCTGAGACCAGGCTGGAACCCCAGCCAGAACCAGTGCCAGGACCAGGGGATCAGGGGGCCAGCCCGGAAGCCTCACCAGCTCCGGAACGCCTGTGCTCTTTCTGCAAACACAACGGCGAGTCCCGGGCCATCTACCAGTCCCACGTGCTCAAGGACGAGGCGGGCCGGGTGCTGTGCCCCATCCTCCGAGACTACGTGTGCCCCCAGTGCGGCGCCACTAGAGATCGAGCCCACACCCGCCGCTTCTGCCCACTCACCGGCCAAGGCTACACCTCTGTCTACAGCTACACCACCCGCAACTCTGCAGGCAAGAAGTTGGCCCGCTCCGACAAGGCGAGGACACAGGACTCCAGTCACCGTAGAGGAGGAGGAGCCGGTGCAGGTGGCTGGGGGATCCACTGTGAAGGGGGCATGCCTTTGTTAAGTGGGTTAACCCCAGGACCCACCTCAAAGGGTTGGGGTAGAGAATCTGGGTAGAAGCCTTAGGACAGTGTTCTAGAAGTGTTGCCCGGGGTGGGTCAGCAGGGGCTTAACTTTGCTCTGCAGCCTTGGGAAAGGGACTCTCCCTCTCTGGGCCCTTGGGGGGAAAAGCCATCCTTTCCTAGGCACAGGCGACCTGGCATGGAAGCCATGGGGATGAGCAAGCAGTGGGACCTGGGGACAGGTACAGCGAGGGCTTGACATTGCGTGGCTCTGAGGAGAGGAGTTGCTCAGACTCTCTGAACCCTAGCGTCCTTATTTCTTACTCATTTGCTAATAGTTTGTGTGCCTGTTCTATGCCAGGTGCTGGGCTGGGCTAGTGGTGGACAAGATAGATGGGCGAGCAGCAGTTAAAACACAGGGTGATAGGTGCTGAATCGGGGAGTCTAGAGAAAGTACTTGGTCCAGATAAGAGGATTCAGGAGGGCTTCTGGAGGAATTGACTTCAGGAAGCCTAATTCGAGTGTGGCCCAGGCTTTGGGGCTTGTCCAGGAACTTCAGGATGAAGCGTGTGTGATTGTGTGGTGGAGGGGGAGGTGTCGGAGATTTGGGGACAAGCCAAAGGGCCTATAGGGCCTTGTGGGCCACAGTAAAGAGCTTGGACTTGGGCAGCAGGGACCCACAGAAGTGGCAAGACCAGGTATGCGTGTTTAGAGTGTGGCTAAGCAAATGGACCCAGGGATGGATTTGAGAGTGGTGAAAGCAGTTGGTTCTGCGGGCAGAGGTGTCCAAGGCAGGCAAGAGGGAATGGCCCAGTGCCCAGGGAAATCTCAGGCTGGAGGGGAGTCTGCTGAGTGGGAGCAGCCCCCCTTAGAGCTTCTGGGGCTGGAGGTTAGGCGTGAGCTGCACTGGAGTCTCCCTGAGGCCCAAGCCCAGTCTCCTCACCTGCATGGCCCACCACTCTGATCTTGCTCATCAGATGTGGGAAACACTTCACAAGTTTGTTTGGGTGAGGCCTGAGCAGCTGCATTTCCAGCCAGCTCCCCACGAGGTGGCCACGCCGCCAGGCAACAGACCATGCAGGCTTTGAGTGGCTTGGGCTTAAAAGACAGCAGTTATCAGAATAGATGCAAAAGACCTCAGCTCCTGTGGGGTTTTAAAGGACAAATCCATTTCAGCAACTTTCTGGGGGTAGTCAGTCAACAGAGGAAGGAGTTGTTTTTTGTTTTTTTAAATGATTGATTTTAGGGAGAGGAAGGTAGAGAGAGAGACAAAAAGAAACATCAACACTAGAGAGAAACATGGACTGCTTGCCTCCTGCAAACACCCCTACTGGGGGGGTCAAACCCACAACCTGGGTATGTGTCCTGACCGGGAATGGAACCCACCACCCTTTGAGGTATGTGAGGACCCTCCAACCAACCAAGCCACACTGGCCAGGGCATAGGAAGGGGTTCTGATGGGGCAGTGTCGCTACTTGGGTACTGCCTCCCATCAGACTGAGCTCCTGAGCAGGTGAGCTGGAAGGAGGATCCCCCTGTCCGTACAGCTGGGAAGTGAACACTTTAAAAGAGTGAGCTTGCCTCCAGGAGAAGACAGTATCCCTGTGAGGTTCAATTTGGAGGCGCAGGAAGCTGAGGGGACACATGAGATGATGACCTCAGAATCCTCTTTTCCCCCTAATTCTGAGGGAGCAGGGTACGCCTGCCTCCCTGGTAACACTCTAGGTATCACAAATACGGGGTCCCCAGGCCCTACGGCCACGAGGGGGCAGCACCACAGGACGGAATTGGGGTTTTTGCATTGTGTCCGTTTCTGGGTCTCACTTGGGTTTGACTTGGTCCAGAAAAACGTAATTTGGGAGCTGTTCCACAAATAGCCTCTGGGTGGCGCCAGAGTCTTACAGCCCTGTAGGTTGAACTGATACTTTGGCCACATGAATCATCGCCTATTATTGTTTTTCTCCTCCCCCTTCCGCTTTTGAACTCAGGTTCCAAAGGTGCCAGGAAGTCGTCTGGACCTTCGCCCTCTTCCTGCTGCCCCTCCAATTCTGTCTAGAAGGCAGGTTCGGGGAGGACGTCCGGGATGCTGCCTCCCCCTAGCCTGGGGACTCCTTGAAGCCTGGATTTCAGGGAAGATGCATCAGGCAAGGACCCTGCCTTGACCCCCTCCCCCAGCCTGGGGCTTGTATGAGGGAGCAGCGACTGGAAACATGACTGGAAGAGCCCTGTGAGGAAGGAGGTGGCCTGGAACAACCTGCCTGCCCTCCCTCCCCAACACCAGGCGCCCAGTCAGCTCTCAATAAATGCTATGAATGGATCAGTGGTCAGATGAGGCTGGTCTTGGGGCAGGGTAGTGGGAACAGCTTTGGAGGGACTGGGTTCTCTCCTGGCTCCGACAGCCTGCACATGTTCCCGTGATCCCCACTTTCCTGACTGCTATTTGGATTTCAGTTCACCCTGAGGCTCAGGGAGAGCAGAGAGATGGGAGTGGGCACCATAGGGTGGCTCTGGGGCTTTGAGAGGTGGCTCCTTTCCTGGCACTTCTGGGCATGACTTCTGCTGCTGGCATATTTGGCACTTTTTCTGACGTTTTCCAATTCCCTTTCAGCCACCCCTCACATATTGACATGCCAAATAGGTGGTAGAATCTCATGCACTGGGTGTGAGGGCCTGATATGAGGGGAGAAATGGAAAGATAATTAGACAAGCCTCCCTCACCCCCACTGTCTTCCCCAGGAAGCCTTCAGTGAATGTTTACATCACACCACAATGCCCCAGTGACTTGGGGCCATGGAGTACCAAGCCCTCTGGGTGGGGGCAAGAATGGGACCATGTTGACTGTGCCTTGGGGGGGGGGGGTGTCAGCCAGTTGAGGCCTTGCCCAGGGTACTGGGGTTCTGTAGAGGCAACTGGATCTGTTTGGGCAAGAGTAGGAGATACAGAGCCCTCCCCATCCATGGATTGTGATCCAGTTCTCCTGAAGGGGGTGCTCAGAGGAACAGCTAGCCCGGTTTCCTCCCTCACCAGAGGCTGTTTCCCTGGCAAGTGGCAATTGTCCATCCACTTCCCCTAAGTCAAGATGCTGGCCTCCATCCCCAAACCACACGGTCTTTCTCCCAGGGGTGGGTGGAGGCAGGATTTGGACTTTGCAGGTCCACTCTGCCCTTGAACTGGGACTGGGGCCACCCAGAAGGAGAGTCTGGGGTGGGAGCCTGCCCTTAAAGACAGCCTGCTGCCTAGGCTTAGAGGGGGAGAATGGAGGACAAAAAAATCACAGAGGGCAGCCCAAAGGGTCTTCAAATTGAGTTGGGGACACGACATCCCAGGCTCTGCCAGCAGCTGCATGCTGCCAAGGACAGAGCTCTTGGGGCTTGGACACACTGGACAAACCGGTGTGTCCTGGCAAGATCAAGGAAGGAGAGGTGGAAGGGGACCCCGATCTGACCTGCTCCCCTCCTGAATGGAGTCTGGGGCTTCAAAGCAGCTTGTCTCATGGAGAACAGACAGGACCACTGAGCACTGGGCAAAAACACCTCTGCAGGTGAGACCTGTGGGCTCACCGCCTCACAGATGCTGGTGTGGGTGCCTCAACGGGCCCACAGCCACCCGCTTCCAGGGAATCCCACACACTTGGGAAACTCGTGGGGACACCCTGACCTGTCCCAGCAATAGCCCCACTTGCCTTTCTAACGGAGGATGAGAAGCAAAAGGGGAAAGAGACAGTTAGGTTTGTGGGCCGAATATCAAGGAACTCAAAGGCTTCAACCTTCAAACAACAGGTCCTGGGGCTTTGCTAGGGAATCATTTATTAATGCTCATCCCAAAATAAATAAAATGGAAATCACAAGAAAGACAAATGCACAACCAACAAAGGAGGCCCTTTTTCCTCCAGGAAAGAGAAATTCTGAACCCGCCATAACCTCAGCTAAGGAGCCAAAATTTGCAAATCCAGATAAACATCTGGGTGGCGCTGGGCCCTGCTCCTGGCCCCCCCCCCCTCCCCCCCGCGCTTCCACCTCCCCCTGCAGCCTCCGCCTCTGGGCGAGCAGGTTCCCTCCCCATACAGACTCCAGAGGGCAGCTGTGGATTCCAGTGGGGCCTCCAGGGTTCCCCAGGGCAGGCTGACTTCCAGGTCGGCGGAAGGACAGTTTCTGGGGCCCACTAGGACCCGCTTGAGCATCTTGGGGGTAATAAAGTACCAGGGGTAACAAAATATCAGGAGCAACCTCAGGGACTGAAGGCTTTCCTGGGTCAGCAGGGGATTGTTGACAGCTCTGTGACAGGAACACTTCTGGGGCCAGAGTTTGAACAAAACATACATCCATGGGAGGGGTAATCTCTGTACACACAGTCCCCCAGCACCCCCATTTGGAAGAATCTACAAGTCCCTCCAGGGCTGCTCCCCTCGAGGGAGAGCCCCAGCCCCCTTTGATGGGTAGGGCATGGGGGCTTTCCCTGCAGGCTTTGTCTTCCGGTAGTTGAGGCGCTTGAATGCTTCCAGGTCCCGGTGGGCATTCATGATCAGCCGGCTGCAGGAAAATGCTGGCTTGACTCTGAGGCAGAGCAGGACACCTCACACTCGTGCTTGCACATTCTCAGAGGCTCACACACTCTCACAGACACACACGTACAATCAGAACCAGCCTGCCACAGAGTGGACTACTGATTGTCCCAGGCCCTCTCTGGAACCTAACAATTCTGTAAAGGATGGATCTGTACCGTAATAGGTGAGAGCCAGGAGGAGTGATACTTTTTGGAGGCCCCTTGATGGGGGGTCTGGGCTGCGGTGAGGGGCCTCCTCCTTGCTGCCCCACTGGCTCTCCCATCCCACTGCCTGTCCTATCCACCCCTCTTACTTCAGGTTGGAGAGTTCAATAATGAGGCCGCGCATGGTATCTGTTGCATCCTCCATCCTGGTGGCTTCACAGGGCTGGATCCCCTTGTGGGTGCTGGAAGGAAAGGAAGATAAGAGGCCTGACCTCAGCAGGCAGCTCCACCAAACACCATGCTGGGGGGCTTTCGCTGGGCCTTCAGCTGTCTGCTTTCCCAGATATTAAGCTACTGTGGGCAGAGCTCTGAGGGCCAACCCAGCGGGATCGATTGCCAAAAGCACACCCAGCATCCAGCCACCTCTCCCCACCAGTCTCCCCTGACCCCTAGCTCCTGCCCCTACAGTTTGTCTCCCTTGCGTATGGGGTGGAGGGCTGTGAAAATGGTCACTGCACCATCTGCAGGCCCTTCCAGACCCCATCATCCCTGCCTTCCCTCCAGGCACAAGATGAATACCTGGCCTTTCCCTGAGCACCTCTTAGGGCTCTGGAATGTTCTCTCCCAAATGTCAGGGGGTTGGGGGAATACTTCCCTGCTCACTGAGTTAAAATTTTAACCTCTTCCCCACTGACTTTTTTCCCCTAACACTCTGTCGCCTGCTTATCTAATTTGCTCGTCTCTCTCTCACCCTGCCTGCCCCACCCAACGTGCAGTAGATGGCGGCTTCATGTTTTGTCCTGTCCCACGCTGCCTGCCCAGTGCCCAGAGCAGTTCCTGGAGGAGCCAGCACTGGGTGGCATTAACCTCTATGGGAGGGTGGATGTGCCACAGCACCCACTGTATCTAATGTGTGGCCTGAGGGTGCTGGCAGAGGATTGTCCTCCTGGCGTCCAGCCAACAGCTCTCCCCAAATCATACCAGACCCTGGCATGGCAGCACCTCCTGGTCTTTCACTATAGGATCTGTGTTCTGCTCCACCTGCCGCGGCCACCCAAGATGGCTGGCTAACCTGGGCCTTAGCTTCTTTTGTGTCTTACTCACCATGGGCCATCACCCCAGGCCCTGCCCTGGGGGTCTTCCAGATGTCCATGTGGGGTCACATCGCCCAACAAGGAGGTCAGATTGAGACACGATTCTCCCTCCTCTTTGTTCAAACAATGGTGGTGCCATTTTGACTGAATGGCCTCTGGTATTTGTGCAGGGTGTGTGTGTGTGTGTGTGTGTGTGTGTGTGTGTGTGTGTGTGCCACTAGTACAACAGGTACTAGAGACAAAGCTTATGCAAAGGAAGAGGGCAAAAACATGCTACCTTATCCCTGGAGGAGTAGGAGGACGAGGAGGAGGAGGAAGGAAAAGGAAGAAGAGAAGGAGGAACAGAAAAACTCACCAAGGGCTGCACTCCTAGCCCCTCCTCCACACTTGCTAGACAGACACAGAAGCTTGGCCATAAATAATTGATAAGGCACTGCCTCTGCAGGAGGCCTGTAACAGGAGAGGATGGCCACCCAGTGCTGGCCCTGGCAGGGCCGGGAGAGAGGACTGCAGGGAGAGGACAGACTGTGAGAGCCTCTGGAGTAAGGGGACCCTAGTCCCACACACGCCCACTCCTCAGGCGGAGGGACAGTGCACCTGGCGGCCTGCCGAAGGGAGAGAAATGGCCTGCCCTGGGGCACAGAGCCAAGCAGGAAGTGAGGACACCAACCAGGTCAGACCTGGAGGGCCCACCCTGGGCCAGAATTGGGTCCGCCCAAGATTGGCTAGGTCAATGGTTCTTAGCTGTCGCACTCTAAGGAGATTCAGAGAAAGTTCTGGACCTTTTCTCCAGAAAAATGCACACACTGAGTTCAAACAACCCACAGAACCAGGGGCGCCACCCCAGGGGTCCCAGGGAGAGATGCTTGTTTGGATGCTGATGGCTGGTGACCAGTTCTCCACCTGCGGGGAGCCGGGGACACACGCAGTTTGAAGGACAGGGCTCACCTCCCTCACTAGATGGAGGAAAGCGAGGCCCAGCGAGGGAGAGCCAGGCCCCTGCATCAGCAAAATGGGAGCTCATAGGGCGGGGGGCGGGGATCATGGCAGCTCAGCGCCAGGAAAGCAGTGACACTCTCTAAGGGAGGACCTCTTCCCCCCAGATAAGGGTCCTGGGGTGCCTCCCACCTGGCCTACCTTGGCTGGGAATGGATGAGGGGGCCTCCTTCAGTACTTAGGCTAGTGTCAGGCCAGCAAGGGTCCGCCCCGCTCACTGCAGGAAACTGGAAGAGAGCACACGTGTGAGCAGTTAGCCCTGTACAGGACAGGAAAGGAAAGTCATACAGGAACCGTCTCAGTGGCCACAGCAGGAACTCTGAGGCTGGAACTCCTGGAGGAAAAGTGGTTAGACCTGGGGGCCACCAGCTGGGCTGCTCTTGCCATCATCCCTCAGAAAGAGAGCAGACACGCTAACCACTGGGCCTGACCCTGTGTCCTCTCCTGGGCCTGCACCTCCCAACAAGCTGCCCTGTGCCTGGGGGTGGCTCCGTCCCCACATTCTCTGCATCCTGCAG